TTTTTACAACCAACGATTGGAACGGATAACTTACATAGAAATTTGCTACTTGAAGTAGGGTGTGGGCAGTGCCATGTTAGCGAGCGCTCGGTCCTCCTTTTACCGTAATGCAAAAAAAAAACTTCCACGTTAACTAAAGTGACAATTCGGAGGTTTACTTCCATGTTAGTTGCAATGGGGGGGGGTAAACTGCAAATTTGTGTTCTTTGGATCTGAGCCCTTTTTTTTTGGCTCTTTTTGCCACGAGTTCCCCGGGAATCCTGGGCATTTGTTGATTAACGTAGAAATTTTGATTTTTTCAAGATAAAGCTGGGAATGCCTCCATTTTTTAACAACCAACGATTGGAACGGATAACTTACATAGAAATTTGCTACTTGAAGTAGGATGTGGGCAGTGCCATGTTAGGGAGCGCCCGGTCCTCCTTTTACAGTAGTGAAAAAAAATCTTCCACGTTAACTAAAGTGACAATTCGGAGGTTTACTTCCATGTTAGTTGCAGTGGGGGGGTAAACTGCAAATTTGTGTTCTTTGGATCTGAGCCCTTTTTTTTTTGGCTAGTTCTTTTTGCCACGAGTTCCCCGGGAATCCTGGGCATTTGTTGATTAACGTAGAAATTTTGATTTTTTCAAGATAAAGCTGGGAATGCCTCCATTTTTTAACAACCAACGATTGGAACGGATAACTTACATAGAAATTTGCTACTTGAAGTCGGATGTGGGAAGTACCATGTTAGCGAGCACCAATTTGGCACCATTGATTTCGAAAGGTTGCATCCTCAATCGCTCGGACATGACAGGGGTGAGAAGATAGATGCAAAGAAGAAAAAAATGATGTGGCGGTCAGTCCGGGGGTTTTAGGGATCGCCCTAGAAGGATGTATTCAACATGAGGGGAGAACATGTTAACATAGAAGTTGCCAACCTGATGTCTGGACCCTCAAGTTACTTCCACGTAAGGGTTTTTAGTCTCAGTTTTCACACTTCCATGATGAATATGTTACTGACATATCTGATGAGCTACTTCCATGTAAGAGATTCACGGTCAGTTTTTCTGCATTTTCTGGCCCGGTAGCCCAGTTCCACTTTTTCCCCAGGAATTGGACGTAAACGACTTCCATGTAAACCGACAGGTTTTTCCATCCTGACTTCCACGGTAAAAGGACCCGGTGTAGAGGAAACGATGTAGAAAACAGTACAACATGGAGGACACGCGTGAACAGGCTAGGAGGCATGTAACATGTTAGAAAAATACAGTGAAAACCTAGGAAAATGTTATAACTAAAAATGCTTTAAAAATATAGTGAAAACCAAGACAATGTCAACGAGCGGAAACGTTGAGCAGGAAATCCGATTTGGTTTCTGTAGATAATGTTAGATGATGAGCAATGTAGTTTGGTGATAGGAAATAGTGGCTGCCTCGCGTACAAGACATTGCCATGAAACCTTGGGGCAAGATGCGGATGATATAGGAAAAAAGATGTATGAGTTGTAAGATTTTAGGAGTTGCATGGGAAAATTTGTTTCATGGTAATCTGTGTGAAGTGAGAAAAGTGTGATTTCGTTCACAGAGTAAGAAAAATAAATACAATCTGCAGATTAGAGTATTTATAATGCTTAAAGCTGTTTGACGTTTTTTGGTGCCTCCCTGATTCTGGTAGTTTTGTGATAAGAACTACAAAAACGATCTACTGGTAAACGGAAGGAATAGTCTTTCCGGTTTAGAACTGAGTCGACTGTCAAGTGATGCATAGGCTCCAGGCCTCTGGTTATTGTCACAAAGCATTGGAATGAAGATTGCGCCCAGGAGCCACCTAGGTTAGGAGACAAATGCTGTAATATCATTGTAAGAGGCCGTACTGAGAAGGCTGAAACAGAACTAAAAGTGAATCTTGTACTAAAACATCGAGAAAGAATTTGAATCTTCTAATGGCAATGACGGGAATGATATGCATCTGTACGTCCGTGATAGTATGTGTGCCTTTTAAAATGGATGTTTGGCGAGTGTGATAGCTGAGAAGATTTTCCGGGATGCCAAACAATTATCTCTATCGATGTCAGGCATGATGCTATTCCGCGACATTTCCTGTAAAATACCTAATTTCCAGACCCTTGGGGGGTGGGGGGGGGTACCCAGGTCTGTAAATGGCCTAAATATATATATATATATATATATACTTTTGATTTGGACTGCATGTTCGCCACTGTTCTATAATTTCCCGTGGGTTTTGCTATAATTTCCCGTGGGTTTTGCATTGTTTTCCTCGATTTTCATTCGTTCTTATACCCTTTCTTACGTATGTTATAGTATTGTCTTGGGTTTGCACTGCCCATTTTGCGAGTAGAGCTATGTTTTGATTTCTCACCGTACGGCCAATATGTTGCGGAACTTCGCGGAGAAGCATGGACCACGATTCTGGGGAGAAAACAATTTAGACTTTGAGAGGTCACATGACCACTGTTCACACAAAAAAGCGGGTGTTATTTATCTACAATAGGTGGGAGCAAACTTGCGCTGTTTTAAGATAAATGAGCAACCAAAGGCGGATTTACGGAACTTGAGATAGAACTTTTCACAATGCCGCAGTACATTGTAGGAAACATATTTGGATATAGAAGTTACAAAATCGTGGAGTTTTACCCTAAAAAGGTCCACTTAATGATTGGAAAATTATGACCCGATAGCAATTGTTGATGGAGGGCTAATTATTTTAGGATTTTTTTGATTTTCCTGCTTCTCTGCTTTTCCTGCTTCTCTGCTTTTCTGCTTTTCCTGCTTCTTTGCCTTTCTGCTGTTTTGCTTTTGTGAGTTTCCTGTTTCTTTGCTTCTCTGTTTTTTTGCTTCTCTGCTTTTTTTTTTTTTGCTTTGCCTGCTTTAAATACTTGATTTTCATGTAAGATGCATTTTGCACAGTATTTACATCCCTGAGTATCACATGACCAACCTTCTCTTGAAACCTAGCAACGTAACATGTGAGAAGAGGTGCTTGCATTCTGCTTTGGGGGGAGGCGCTGCGCCCTCCCCCCAATCCCCCCTTCCCGCTTGATTTTTATTTAAACTTAAACCCAAGTTACATTAGTTGGTTTTTGCGAACTAACCTTCTCTGGAAAGCTGACAGGATTACATGTGATAGATAGATAATTAGATAGCTGGATAGATAGATAGCTTGGTAGATAGATAGCTAGATAGATAGATAGCCAGCTAGATAGATAGATAGCTAGAGAGATAGATAGCTAGATACCTCGATAGATAGATGGCTAGATAGATAGCTAGATAGATAGAAAGCTAGCTAGATAGATAAAGAGGTAGCTAGATAGATAGATAGATAGATAGATAGATAGATAGATAGATAGCCAAATAGATAGGTAGATAGATAGCTAGATAGATAGATAGCTAGATAGATAGCTCGATAGCTAGATAGCTGGATAGACAGCTGGATGGCTAGATAGATAGCTAGATAGATAGAAAGCTAGATAGCTAGATAGCTAGATAGATAGTTAGCTAGATAGCTCGATAGCTAGATAGCTGGATAGACAGCTGGATGGCTAGATAGATAGATAGATAGCTAGATAGATAGAAAGCTAGATAGCTAGATAGCTAGATAGATAGTTAGCTAGATAGCTAGATAGGTAGATAGATAGCTAGCAAGATAGCTAGCTAGATAGGTAGATAGATAGCTAGATAGATAGATAGCTTGCTAGATAGATAGCTAGCTTGCTAGATAGCTAGCTAGATAGCTAGATAGCTAGCTAGCTGGATAGATAGCTAGCGCCCTCCCTCAATCCCCCCCACCCGCTTTTTATCTAATCCCAAGCTTCCGCATCTGTAAATATTTGGGTGAACATATTCACATGTAGAACATCCCATGCAAAATGGAAGGTGAACATGCCAAAATGTGGCAAATACCGTACAAAATGGAAGGTGAACATGCCCACATGTAGTAAATCCCATGCAAAATGGAAGGTGAACATGCCCAAATGTGGCAAATACCATGCAAAATGACAAATTCAAGTTCCAAACCTTTGCAAACACTAGGCAAATGGTACCAGCCAAGAAATCCAACAAAAATTCCCAAACCTGCTCAAAAAAAAATCATAAAACTATTTCACACCCATTATGTTTGAGCCATGCCATATGGATGAGGTGGAGTTTCACGCGCCCCCGCGCGAGTCAAAAAGCAAGCGCTGGCTTTCGTTCCACCCCTTCTCAGGTCTGTCAGTCTGGAGATTGCCATATCAGGGGATATTAATCAAATTGGTTCACAAATTTAACCAAATTTAACCACTGAAAAAATCTGTGGTTAATTCATTGCCATTTCCCAGTTCTGTGCCCTGCTCCGACTCCTTTGCTGAGGTCACGAGTCAGGCTTGGACGAAGAAAATGAGTCGCGACGACCCGTGACTCTGGAGACATTTTTACATAGAAACACCTGATATATGAGCTCATTTCCAGAGGATGCACTACTGATGTATCTGATGTACCAATGTATATACTTCATTGAAGAATTTGGAATCATTTGGTCATTTTTTGGGCCACTGAATATGGTTGATGTTAAATGATGCGTGTGACAATCCAACTCCAGTATGCGGCAGGTAGAAGATGAAGTTGCGAACATTTGTGAAAGTGAGCATTGTTCTGTTGCTTCAAGAGTGTACCCAGAATCAGCGAAGAAAACATTTGCAGCGGTGCAGGACTTTCTCCCCAACTTTCATCCGATATTTCAGCAAGGTGTTGTTGATACTTGCCTGTCTTCTGCTTGACTTGCAGCGCTTCAAGCTTTTCCGAACCTGGACGGAGCCTCAAACTGTCAACACGTGCATCAACGTCATTACGACATTTTTTTTTTATTTGGCGAATGCAAGCTGACAACTTCTACAGAGCTGATGGCTCTATTCTTTTTTGGGTCATCAAATTCAATTTGTAGGATCCTTCAGGGTGTCATATTCAGCAACAGAATCAAACGGCCACAGAGAGAGAGAGAGAGAGCGAGAGAGAGAGAGAGCTGGCATAGCAGCTGTGCTGTCTTGCAGCGTGATGGCGCTTGCGCTTTCAGAGGACTGCAACTGGCTTTCTACAGAGGTGAGATCAAGATTCCACGTGGAAGAGTGGGAAAATTATTCCACCAGTTCCTACCAACATGTTGGGTAGACAGTAGACCGGGGTTTGCCCAAACCACAGTGCCTTCTTGATGAGCTCGATCATGTTCATGAATTGTTTCTTTGAAAAATGTGCGTTTCGCTGTGGTGCCAAGCACATTTTGAAGTCTTTACATCGTTGTGCTTTGATGCTAATATTATCTAATATTCAGCATGTGTGTAAGATGGTTATCAAATTACTCATCAACTCATCAACTCAACTTCCATTTTTTCATTTTTTTTTCAAAAATACATGTTGAAAACAACCCTTACAGATCTTGCAGGGGATTGTGCGTTTCAGTGAGCCAAATTATATCTACGCCTTCCTGGGATGCCTTGCCCAACACCCAGGTACAGACGAGTCGTTAGCGTAGCATCATAGCTGTGTGCAAGTGCAACAGAACGTTATTACACCCCACCCCACCCCACCCCACCCACACAAACCAAATGAAGTTTGGGCAACCCCCCCACCTCTACCCAACATGTTGCGTTCTTGTTTAACAAGAGGCCCTTTTTTCAACCATGATTAAGTTGGGATACTTGATAAAAGAGGTATGCGGTATGCATCGTTGCCTTCGAAGGAGCCCAGGACTCGCCCAGCCCTGGGAGGCCGGCAGCCATAGGTGTGGGATGTCCATGAAGATCAGAATAGCTTTGAGAACAATTAACCCACTCAAGGTTTATTAGGTGACAGATCTAGTTGTAGCCTGAACGAACACCATTATACAGCTTAGCCACATCCATTTTTTCCCAATCATTTTGCAACTCGCAGTTCGCAATGCAAGTGACAGTTGCGGTGGTTGCACTTTTGGTGAGAAGTCGACAGGTGCAAGAAAGTTGACGCCGAGGCGGCTGTACGCAGTGCTGCTTTTGACTTCTTGGGAACTTCCTGATTTGAGCAAGATATGAACAACATATTTGAATGAACACTTCAATAGCTGAGAAGCAGAATAAGGGTGCACCGGATATGCGGTATGCCACCGGTATGCGCGCCTAAGCCTGATCCATCGTGATCCTAGACGCCACTGAGTCAGGCCAATTCCAAAGTGCGAAGACTTTTATCCAAGGCGGAAGTAGCACCATTTGGGAGTTCTGCCATTTGGGAAATTTGGGAAGGCCCCCAAACCCCTTAATTCACCGTACTGAAATTGACACGAAAAGGATCTAAAAGGCATAAAAACTAATTCGGCATTTTGATGTATTTTTGGAGCCTAAAATTTGCACATCCCTAAATTCTGAGTGAAGGATGAGCAGGTTGCACCATCCATCGTCTCTCAGCTGCTCAGTTGCTTGGACAGCGATGAGAACCGATGGGTGGAAGACTGAGACGGCATGTGATGGGCACTTGCAGAGTTGCAAACTTTGCATTACATAAATCTAAGTAGTATTCAACCTTGATAGCTTGATGGTAGAAACAATCAACAAGCTAGATTTTGTCCCCAAACATGATCAGAAATCAGAAAGGTCAGTAGCAACATTTTGCCAAGCCAGTACTCTTGCAAGCTTCCATATCTCCTTTCGGATTTTCCAGCGTCATGTGTTGTTCTCATGCAGTTGGTGTTGCTATTCTTTGGCTCAAGACCTAAAGATCCTGAAGTAAGGCAACCAGAAGAAAGACATCTCCAAAAATGGCGGAGAATGTGGCACTCTACCAGGACAAGTTCGTGGAGATCTATGCGGATCACATCAAGATCAAGTCCTACTACGCCCCGGTTTTCCGGTCCAAGCGAATCAATATCGGCAAAGAGTGTGGAGTTTCTTTCGCTACGGATGAAGAACTGGGCTTCACAAAGATTGACAGAAAAGGCTGGGGAATGGCACTGAACAATGTTTGGTGGGCTCTGGACATGAGGCGGGAATTCATTTTCGGAGGACCCAAGCACCTGGGTATCGTCATCACCGTAGGCAGAGACACCTTTCGAAAAGGTTTCAGCGTTGAGGATGGAGAAGCAGCCTTGAAAGTCCTCGAGTCTTTGTTGCCAAAAACAGGGCAGTGATCAACCATCCGCACGTGCTCCTTTTGAGCTTGGCAGGGCCCTTTTACTGCCTAGTGGAAATTGATCTTCTGGTCGAGACGTTGCTGTGAGTCAACCTCGAACACGAACTTTTTGTACAGTGTTTGGCCGCAAGGACGGCCGTGTTAAACAGCTTGTGTTCTGTACAGAGGTTTAAGTGAAGGTCTATATACCCTTGCACACTTGTATTGCATGGAAGACCTAGGACGACGAACGTCACAGAACAAAAAGATTATAGTTGTAAATCCCTGGTTTTTTCTTTCTCACGGTTGCGGCTGCCAGCAAGGCCCGGTTTGACCTCCTAAATAGTTTAGCCTTGAAACCTTAACTTTGCACATACGATTTTGTTCCCAGAACGGTGCCTAGACATTGACATATCCATTTATGTTGTTTTTTTCCCCTACCTGAGCTCTCATGGATCATTGGGTCATTCTCATGCAGTTGGTGTTGCTATTCTTTGGCTCAAGACCTAAAGATCCTGAAGTAAGGCAACCAGAAGAAAGACATCTCCAAAAATGGCGGAGAATGTGGCACTCTACCAGGACAAGTTCGTGGAGATCTATGCGGATCACATCAAGATCAAGTCCTACTACGCCCCGGTTTTCCGGTCCAAGCGAATCAATATCGGCAAAGAGTGTGGAGTTTCTTTCGCTACGGATGAAGAACTGGGCTTCACAAAGATTGACAGAAAAGGCTGGGGAATGGCACTGAACAATGTTTGGTGGGCTCTGGACATGAGGCGGGAATTCATTTTCGGAGGACCCAAGCACCTGGGTATCGTCATCACCGTAGGCAGAGACACCTTTCGAAAAGGTTTCAGCGTTGAGGATGGAGAAGCAGCCTTGAAAGTCCTCGAGTCTTTGTTGCCAAAAACAGGGCAGTGATCAACCATCCGCACGTGCTCCTTTTGAGCTTAGCAGGGCCCTTTTACTGCCTAGTGGAAATTGATCTTCTGGTCGAGACGTTGCTGTGAGTCAACCTCGAACACGAACTTTTTGTACAGTGTTTGGCCGCAAGGACGGCCGTGTTAAACAGCTTGTGTTCTGTACAGAGGTTTAAGTGAAGGTCTATATACCCTTGCACACTTGTATTGCATGGAAGACCTAGGACGACGAACGTCACAGAACAAAAAGTGAGGAATGCGAGTTGCCAGCATCAGGTGTTCTTTCGGGTCCACTGCTGGATGGGTCCGAATCCGAAATCAAACATAGATGGCTTCATTTGTTTTCATGCATCTCTCCAGAGAATGGGCTTTATCCCGAAGCCCGTATTCCAGTCGCAATGCTTAAAGTTAAGATCACTACTGCCATCTGCTTTTTTGAATGGATAGCAATTGCAATGGCCAGGGCGCTGACCTGCGCAGTGCAGTGACACGGCTGGAAGCACGGATGCATGCGCTGGAGGCACCTGAGAAGTGTGGCGTGAAAGGGGAGCACCAAGAAAACTTGGGGCACGTAAAATCATGTAAACATATACAGTTTCAGCACAGAATATTTAAGACAATATTTGATCTCACAAATTCTGATGACCCGCTACAAAGAATCTTGAACGCAGCTACCGCCGGTGAAATATAAAGATGATTGTCGATTGTCCTTTTGCTCTGACCGGGCTTTGTCCTGGACTGGACTTCGTTTCTAATCGAAACTAAAACTAGGAGGGACTATTTGGATGCGATTCTCTTCTGACGGGGGCCGGGGAGACGCCTACGGGTATGGAAACACAACCCGCTTATTTTTCAATGTTTCACGCAGCCTCACAAACCATACCTACGGCACGAACGAAGGAACGAACGAGGTGATCGTATGCATACCGAGCATGCCGTCATCATCGTCAGCCTCGACGATTTCTCATGGTGGTCTTCCAAATCATATGCTGCTGAATCCCGAACCACACCTACGGCCCATGGCTCCTCCTCCCAGCACCTGCATTCTCTGAGCATCCACGATCCAAACGCCATGAAACCACCATCCATGTCGAAAAAATCCCAAACCGTATCAAACCGTTCTTCTAAAGGACGGATGGGGACTTCGGCTGGTAGCTGCCTGTGCCTAACGTTGCTTTTTGGCGCAGCAAGAAACTAGTTTCAAATTCCAGCTTGCAAGCCTCCAAAACTTTGCTTTTGCAGCACCGAAACACCATGGAACTAAAGGACGGACAGGGCCTTGAGCTGGCAGCTGCCTGTGCCTAACTTTGTTTTCTAGCGCGGCATGAAAATAGCTCCAAATTCCAGCTCGCAAGCCTCCAAAACCTACCCTTCGCAGCACCGAAACACCATGGAACTAAAGGACGGACGGGGCCTTCGGCTGGCAGCTGCCTGTGCGTTGCTTTCTGGCGTGGCAAGAAACGAGCTCCAAATTCCAGCTCGCAAGCCTCCAAAACCTACCCTTCGCAGCACCGAAACACCATGGAACTAAAGGATGGACGCCGCCTTCGGCTGGCAGCTGCCTGTGCCTAACGTTCAGCTGCCAAGGCTCGAAAGCAACGGCGGGCAACGGTCTGTGCTGCGTAACGGTTTTTTTTGAACGGACACTTGCTGCTGGTAATTTCTCCTCTGGCGCACTCCCCCTGCTGCAAGCGGGGTCGGCGGATATTTGGTAAAGGTATCCTCAGTAGTCAGACTGTGTCTGTAGAGAATCTGGGTGTCCGACGTGTCCATTCGGAAACAGACTCTCTGTGCAGGGCCAGAACCTGCGCTCCGATCGACGTGCCGCAGAGCTCGCCGGTCTCACGCAGGCGCTTTGGAGCGATGGGACCAGTGGGATGTTTTTTTGGTTGTCATGTGAACAGTAATTAGTAATTTGTACCACGTCAGTACCATGCAGGTGTTTCTCACATTTTCTCACCCTTTAAACTTTGCAAAGTGAGGCTTAGGTTTTTGCTCCAAATTGGGTTTTCGAGGCCCTCACTGAGGAGCAGCGCGCGCTGCTGATCCGGTTGGATCGTTTGGAGGATATCCATCTGGGGGTGGGGGGTCAGACGCCAAACATTAGGAACGCTAACCTTTTAACCGCCAAATGATGTGAGACTTTCCTGCACATTGCTGCTGTCAAATCAAGGACTTGAAGCGAAGAGACGCTTTGCAGGTGCCGTTGCACAATCCAATGGGTTTTCATGTTTTGAAAATCACTATCTCTATGAGTAGCAATTTTGCGCCACAGTTCCAGACAAAAACCAGTCCATACTGTCATACTGTCTTTGAGGGATGAGACTAGGAGGTCACTTTGCTTCTTGCAGTTGCCATGTATCAGTGGCAAAACGCTCAGGACGCATATTCCTGACAACGGATGAAAATATGAGAAAAATGGAAGACTGGAAGACGCTTAAACCTGTGGGAACCAATGGTCTGAATCTGAAGAGTAGGTGGTTTCCTGTTGGTTTCTTCAATTATTGCCTCATTGTCCCAATGCGACGGAGTCCAAGTCAGCCTCAACCACAACATGTTGTTGTTCAAGCTTGTAAAAGCGCGTCCCCAAATAAGGGCTCTGCACAATGACTGTCACCTCAGGTGAGTGTAGACGGTGTGAATTGAGTTCTTTTTCTTGATCGAGCAGTGTTCAAAACCCCTGTAGGTTGATGATAGTGGATGATAGTGGGAGGTTATGCTCACTATGTTGGGGATTATCATCTGGGAATTCTGTTCTTAACCAACCAGCTCCAAAATGAACGTGTCAATGCTTATCACATGTTGGATAGCTCAAGCCCACTCAGCCAATCATCCATAGCCAATCTTCTGGATCTTTGGGTCATCAAGTTTGACCCACAAAATCCCTTGAACATTGGACAACACGTGACAACATATGCCAATATTACAGAATTTCTTTGAGATTCTTTAATTCTGGAAGGGTAAATAAAGAAACAATTCCTACCTTCCTTCCTATATTCGATAGCACCTTTAAACAAATCAACCTGGTTTGGTATTGGATCTATGGTTGGGGTACCATGGCAGGTTCCCGAAGATCGCTTGGGACGCTTGGAGCAGGAGCACCGAACCCTGGCCTTGGAACTACGTTTGACGGTTTCGGTGGCTGAGGAGGTCAGCCTACCGCCATCCGACCGTCCTTTAAGAACGGTTTTTGGAAAGGGACCATACTTGTAGATTTGGGGATTCCCAAATTTGTGTGCGACTGAGAACACTAAACCCAAAGATCATGTTGAAATGTTCGTCAACTTTGTGTATCCGGAGGCTTATTGATTCAGGACTGTCAGAATATTGTTGGAATGTGACTTGGAAAGTTGATGTATCCCAAATTATCCAACTATGGGCTAGGGGCCAGAAAGCCTAGGCCCTGGATTGTTTGTGGTAGATGGTGGGCTCTCGCAACAATGTGGTGCTGTTTTTTGCTGCTGTGAGATGTGAGATTTTGGTGCAAATTCAACTTTTTCCTCCGGACAGGGGGTTTCGGAGTTCGCAGGACCAGAGAGTCTAGCATTCACAAGAATCCTTTGAAACTATATGAAACTATGCTATATTCCCTGCAGGCGCAGCAGAAGCAGCAGCAGCGGATTCGATCTTTAGAGGTCCCGAAGCTCAGAATCCAAAACGTTGACATGCGTACCGGTCGTATCTGGTCGTATCTGCTTGTATTTGGTCGTTTCATGCTACAAGACATGAGCAGTGGATTTATGCGTCAGGAGTCCATGGGTGCAAGGCTTCGAAAATTGGAGCATGGAGGATCTAATCTATTTCTGGGGCATGGGAAGAATGGAATGTTCACAGAACAGGACTTGAGATGACTTTGGAAGAGTGATACGACACGACGTTTCTTGTGATGGTCAGATCAAGCAATAGGTACTGATAAAGTCTTTGAGAAGGGCGATTGGTCGGCACATTCCATCCAAAAGAGTTTGCGGAGCGATTTGTGTTCCCTTTACTTGCATAGTGTAGTCCTTGATCTATTATGTTTTGGATCCAATCTGGGGGTATCCAATATTCAGGGGGTGGGATTGTCGTTTTCAGAGCATGCCTCATTGGTGTTCCGAGGCAAATCAGTAACATGCTAGGAGAAGCTCGAGTTCGTCAGCTCGAGATTGAAACCGTAGTCGAGGTATTCAATTTGTTAGAGAAGCCAACGGCTGGAGTAGAGCCATCTTGTGCAAAATGATTCTAAAGGATTGGTTGAGCTGACTTGATTAAAGTCCACCTGGATACTTGAAACCCTTCCAATTGCAGTGGTTTTCCATGCGTCAATGTGGTTACTTAGTCCACTTAGATACCAATGATGTGTCAATGTGGTCTCTCTACAGCTGTGCTGCAGGAGGAGAGATGGCTGCTGAAACGGATCCTTCAGGCAATTTTTCTTGGCACTTGTGGGTTCAATTCTTTGCGAATATGGTGTTTGGATTTTGGGCCAAATGAACATGTCCAACAGCGATGAGTCTGCGTTTCGATTGAATGATCAAGTGGGTGTGCTTGAACCAGTGCGCGGTAGATAGAGATGATAGAGATGATCAGCACTGGATCAAACATGGACAGGAGATGACCAGAGTACCCTCCGGCAGTCAAACATGGCAATGGACAATTCATGAAAATTCCCCCATTTACAGAGGATTTTCGCATTAAGACTTATTAAGACCTCCATGTCTAGGGTTTGATTATCATCGATGGTGGTGCCTTGTGAGTCCAGAGATTGGTAGTGGATCTGCAGGCCGTAGCTTGTGGCCAGAAGTGTTTGGGCGGCTCAGCCCGAGTCAAGGGGTAATTTTGAGATATTGGGCTAGGGGTCAAAGTTGTGTCTGATTCGAAGCGGTGGTTTTTGTTACAACTCCTTCGATCAGTTTTTCTTGTGAACTCTTTCCTGTTGCTTTCTATTTTTTTTCTCGTTTTTCTTTGTTTCCATTCGTTTTCTTTTTCTCGCTTTCCTTGATTCGACCGGGTTGCAACCAAGTTGTTTTCAACCTCAGTCTGAAAATCCATCTGGAGGCGTCGTTTTTGGGACACACTCTAAAAGTCCACCACTCACTGCCTTCGAAATCAAACCCACTTTTTGGTCTTCTTAGGTCTCAGTCTCGGGCGAACGATGAGGCGCAACTGACCAAACTATCTCCTTTCAGAAATATACCTCTTGAACATAGAATTCCCATAGAATTCCCATAGAATTCCCATAGATTTCCCACTTTTGACAGAGGTTTTTGATTCTGAATGCTCTTGCTTGAGTGGTAGTCAAATCACCTCACGGCACAGGCCAAAGACGTCTCACTTGTTTGTGCCGACCTCAGGCCTCGCCCTTGCCACATGTCGTAGGAACGGCTAGAGGCAGATGGCGGACAAAGCCACGGCTGAATGGATAGAAACCCTATGATACTTGGGTGTACCTCCTTTAAATAGCTTTTTAAATGAATTCATCATAATTCATGCATGCCTATCCTGTTTAAACCTGGGTTCTAGGTAAGTTACAAGGACCTCACAACAAGGTCATCATGAATGATGATCGGTAGGGGGGAATCATCCCAAGAATGGTTTACTCACACTTACAGTTTTTTTTTGAATTATACCATTTGCCCCAACGCTCGTATTAGATCACTAGAACTTATCATGATTCATATACATGTTTATCCTTTTTGAAACTCGCACGGTTGGTCACCAATATTTCTTAACCATATATAAACCATAAATAATATAATATTATATTATATTATATTGTATTGTATTGTATTATATTATCTTATATTATCTTATAATATATTATATTATATTATCTTATAATATATTTTATAACTATATTATATTATTTTATAATATATTATATTATTTTATAATATATTATATTATATTATACTATATTATATTATATTATATTATACTATATTATATTATATTATACTATCTTATATTATATTATCTTATAATATAATATATTATATTATATTATCTTATAATATAATATTATATTATCTTTTAATATATTATATTATATTATCTTATAATATATTATATTATACTATAATATGTTATATTATATTATATTATCTTTTAATATATTATATTATATTATATTATCTTATAATATATTATATTATATTATCTTTATAATATATTTTATTATGTTATCGTATAATATATAATATTATATTATCTTATAGTATATTATTCTATATTATCATATTATATCATATTATATGATATGATATGATATGATATTATATTATATTATTTTATATTATATTATAATACATTATAATTACGAAAGCCAGCTAGCTGGATCGTTGCTGTCTGCGAACAAAGTGAGTATAAGGGGGTCTGGGGGGAGGGCTTGCCCAAGTGGGCCAAAATCTCGCTATTGCATTTTTCCGGGTCATGTACCGTGCGGCAAAAGGGTGACGGTAGGGTATCGATTCCCCCTAGGTCCGCATTTTGGGGAGCCTTTTGGGGTGCTTGGCAGAGGAGCCGATGTCTGCGAGAAGGGGGAAGGAGTGCTAGCACAGATAGGAAAGGTAAGGGTAAAGGCGCCTTTTGCCACTGCTGTTGATGTTGGTGGAGGAAGGACAAAAGTCGCCCGGCTCGAGGGTCTTTGTCGGGCACTGTGATGTCAGATGGGAAGGTGTTTGTGTGAAGGAGGAAGGAGGGCTAGCGCATAATGCGAGGTTTGAAGGCGTAGACATAGCAGCTGTCACAAAAATTAACCACCAAAAGTACCGTGGGTGAGGTACATAATGGCCTGTGAAGCAGAATGTAGAGCATTCCTGACAATTCAGGCCGGGTTCGCTTATATATGTATATATATAGATGTAAATATATATATATATATATTTTACGAAAGCCGGCCGGGAAGCTGGCCAGTTGTTGTTTGCGAACGAAGTGAAAATAGGGGGTCTGGGGGGGGCTCTGGGTGAAAAGTATATGGGTGAAAAGTATTTATGGGAAAAGTCTGTGGGTGAGAAGTATATGGTTGATCCGTCTTTGGGTGAGAAGTATATGGGTGAAAAGTATGTGCAAGAATTGTTTCTGGGTGAAGAGTCCCTGGGTGAAAAGTTTGTGCAAGAAGATTTTCTGGGTGAAGAGTCTCTGGGTGAAAAGTTTATGGGTGAAAGGTAAATGGGGGAAAAGTCTGTGAGTGAGAAATACAAGTTTGATCCGTCTGTGGGTGAAAAGTATATGAGTGAAAAGTATGTGCAAGAAGAGTTTCTGGGTGAAGAGTCTCTGGGTGAAAAGTATATGGGTGAAAAGTACGTGCAAGAAGAGTTTCTGGGTGAAGAGTCTCTGAATGAAAAGAATATGGGTGAAACGTATATGCAAGAAGAATTTCTGGGTGAAAAGCCTGTGCAAGAAGAGTTCCTGGGTCAAAATTATGTGCAAGAAGAGTTTCTGGGTGAAGAGGCCCTGGGTGAAAAGTATATGGGTGAAAAGTATGTGCAAGAAGAGTTTCTGGGTGAAGAGTCTCTGGGTGAAAAGTCTGTGCAAGAAGAGTTTCTGGGTGAAGAGTCTCTGGGTGAAAAGTAAATGGGTGAAAAGTATGTGCAAGAAGAGTTTCTGGGTGAAGAGTCTCTGGGTGAAAAGTATGTGCAAGAAGGGTTTCTGGGTGAAGAGTCTCTGGGTGAAAAGTATATGGGTGAAAAGTCTGTGCGAGAAGAGTTTCTGGGTGAAGAGTCTCTGGGTGAAAAGTATATGGGTGAAAAGTACGTGCAAGAAGAGTTTCTGGGTGAAGAGTTCTGGGTGAAGAGTCTCTGGGTGAAAAGAAGGGTTGAAAAATATGTGCAAGAAGAGTTTCTGGGTGAAGAGTATTGGGTGAAAAGTATGTGCAAGAAGAGTTTCTGGGTGAAGAGTCTCTGGGTGAAAAGTATATGGGTGAAAAGTATGTGCAAGAAGAGTTTCTGGGTGAAGAGTCTCTGGGTGAAAAGTATATGGGTGAAAAGTAGGTCCAAGAAGAGTTTCTGGGTGAAGAGATTCTGGGTGAAAAGTCTGTGCAAGAAGAGTTTCTGGGTGAAGAGTCTCTGGGTGAAAAGTCTGTGCAAGAAGAGTTTCTGGGTGAAGAGTTCCTGGGTGAAAAGTATATGGGTGAAAAGTATCTGCAAGAAGAGTTTCTGGGTGAAGAGTCCTTGGGTGAAAAGTATGTGAAAGAAGAGTTTCTGGGTGAAGAGTTTCTGGGTGAAAAGTATCTGCAAGAAGAGTTTTTGGGTGAAGAGTCTCTGGGTGAAAAGTCTGTGCAAGAAGATTTTCTGGATGAAGAGTCCCTGGGTGAAAAGTTTATGGGTGAAAGGCATATGGGGGAAAAGTCTGTGGGTGAGAAATATATGGTTGATCCGTCTGTGGGTGAAAAGTAAATGAGTGAAAAGTATGTGCAAGAAGATTTTCTGGGTGAAGAGTCTCTGGGTGAAAAGTATATGGGTAAAAAGTACGTGCAAGAAGAGTTTCTGGGGAAGAGTTTCTGGGTGAAGAGTGTATGGGTGAAAAGCCTGTGCAAGAAGAGTTTCTGGGTGAAGAGTCCCTGGGTGAAAAGTATGTGCAAGAAGAGTCTCTGGGTGAAGAGTCTCTGGGTGAAAGGTATATGGGTGACAAGTATGTGCAAGAAGAGTTTCTGGGTGAAGAGTTTCTGAGTAAAAAGTATATGGGTGAAAAGCCTGTGCAAGAAGAGATTCTGGGTGAAGAGTCTCTGGGTGAAAATTATATGGGTAAAAAGTACGTGCAAGAAGAGTTTCTGGGTGAAGAGTCTCTGGGTGAAAAGTATATGGGTGAAAAGTATGTGCAAGAAGAGTTTCTGGGTGAAGAGTTTCTGGGTGAAGAGTCTCTGGGTGAAAAGTATGTGCAAGAAGGGTTTCTGGGTAATGAGTCTCTGGGTGAAAAGTATATGGGTGAGAAGTATGTGCAAAAAGAGTTTCTGGGTGAAGAGTGTCTGGGTGAAGAGTATATGGGTGAAAAGTATGTGCAAGAAGAGTTTCTGGGTGAAGAGTCTCTGGGTGAAAAGTATATGGGTGAAAAGTCTGTGCAAGAAGAGTTTCTGGGTGAAGAGTCTCTGGGTGAAAAGTATATGGGTGAAAAGTATGTGCAAGAAGAGTTTCTGGGTGAAGAGTCTCTGGGTGCAAAGTACATAGGTGAAAAGTATGTGCAAGGAGAGTTTCTGGGTGAAGAGTTTCTGGGTGAAGAGTCCCTGGGTGAAAAGTATATGGGCGAAAAGTCTGTGCAAGAAGGGTTTCTGGGTGAAGAGCCCCTGGGTGAAAAGTATATGGGTTAAAAGTACGTGCAAGAAGAGTTTCTGGGGAAGAGTCTCTGGGTGAAAAGTATATCGTTGAAAAGTGTGAGCAAGAAGAGTTTCTGAATAAGAGTCTCTGGGTGAAAAGTCTGTGCAAGAAGAGTTTCTGGGTGAAGAGTCTCTGGGTGAAGAGTCTCTGGGTGAAAAGTATGTGCAAGAAGAGTTTCTTG